GGCTATGTAATCTAGCAAACTGCATATAAAACTACCAATTCCATGTTTAACATGGAGTAGAGAGGAAATATTTCTCTTGCAGCAAAATTTAAAATCTCTGCAAAATAAACTAAAGGATCACAACTCAATACACCAAACTGAAGTGTACAATGTAGTCCTAGTACCTTGTTAAATGAACCAAATACTAGGTTCTCCATGTACTTTACATGCCATTGCATGCCGCTGGTGTTATTTGAATAGAAATTAGTATGCAGCCAAAAAAATCTAAAGTTCACAATTTTTTACAAGAGTAAATTACAACATATGATTATAAATCTGCAAGCTTGACAATACTGAAGGGACTTAAAGAATTGTCTGACCTTCTCAGTGCACATCACTATTTAAAAAAAAAACCAAAAAACAAAAACACCCACCACTGACATGGCTCTCACCTCCGTTTTTCAAGTGGGTGGTCAAATATTTGTATGCAGCTCTCCTCTGATAGCTTTGTCACTTCCATGCCTCCACTGTAGTTTTCATGCAGATATTCCTGATTCAAGACTTCCACAGTATTTTAATGGTAAAGGACCTTTATACTCCACCTGAAGTCAATCTACTTGTGAATCAAGATTACCAACTAAAAATGTGTAATAAGTCACCTGGGTTTGCTAATATTTTAATGGTTACATAACTATCTTTTGACAAAGTGCTGACTTATATTACTCTCCTCACAGATTTTAACGATGTTTAAATATTTGTAATTGCCATGAATAACTGAGATTAAGTTCTGGCTATCAGACAACCAGATTCATGCAGTGTTATAGCCATGTTGGTCCCAGGATATTAAAGAGACAAGTGGGTGAGGTTATACCTTTTATTGAATCAACTTCTGTTAGTCAGAGAGAGAAGCTTTCAAGATGATGAGCTGTGTGTAAGCTCAAAAGCTTCTCTCTCTCTCTCTCTCTCTCTCTCTCTCAACAGAAGCTGGTCCAATAAAAATAATAAAAAAAAAATCATACTTCACCCATCTTGAGACTAATAAGATCCATGAGTTGTATTCCAAAGAATTTGCATGGTTTCCCAATTTTAGTATATCACATTTAACTACATCAAAGTATTTCTGCCCTCTACTTTCACCTCTTCATTTTAAAGTGAAGTTTTACTCTAAAAAACTTACTATAAAAAAGTGACATATTAAACACATGGAACAGTTTTATCAGGTATTTAGTTGTATCTGATTTTAGTGGCAGACATTTTTATTGCTTTTTAGTTCTGTTAGCTCTACAAGCTAATAGTGGGCTGGATTCTATCCGTTCTTGTGCATCAACAGAAATGTAATAAAGTCAAACCTGTGTAAATCCTTTGACGGCAGTGCGGCTGCACAGGTATTACCAAGGATCTAATTTGCCCTTAAAAACCTTTGTTATTGCAATTTTGAGAGAAAGCACACAAACTAAACCTGAGTGTGCAAGGCTGACCAGAAACACACATAAATTGAAGACATTTGATATGGAAGTCTATTGATACAATCACAGACCTCCCTAATGTATTTTTAATCACTTTTCAAGTTATAAGCACACTAATTCAAGTTTAAAGTAGGGCTGTCGATTAATCGCAGTTAACACACGCGATTAGCTCAAAAAATTAATTGTGATTAATCGCAGCTTTAATTGCACTGTTAAACAATAGAATACAAATTGAAATTAAATATTTTGGCTGTTTCTCTACATTTTCAAATATATTGATTTCAAGTACAACACAGAATACAAAGTGTACAGTGCTTACTTTTTATTTTTTATTACAAATATTTGCACTGTAAAAATGAGAAAAGAAATAGTATTTCAATTCACCTCATACAAGTACTGTAATGCATTCTCTACCATAAAAGTGCAACTTACAAATGTAGATATTTTTTGTTACATAACTGCACTCGAACAAAAAAATGTAAAACTTTAGAGCCTACAAGTCCACTCAGTCCTACTTCTTGTTCAGCCAATTGCTAAAACAAATAAGTTTGTTTACATTTATGAGTATAATACTGCCTGCTTCTTATTTACAATGTCACCTGAAAATGAGAACAGGCGTTCGCATGGCACTGTTGTAGCCAGCACTGCAAAGGATTTATGTGCCACATATGCTAAACATTTGTATGTCCCTTCATGCTTCGGCCACCATTCCAGAGGACACACTTCCATGCTGATGACCTCGTTAAAAAATGTGTTAATTAAATTTGTGACTGAACTCTTTTGGGGGAGAATTGTATGTCTCCTGCTCTGTTTTACCTGCATTCTGCCATATATTTAATGTTATAGCAGTCTTGGATGATGACCTAGCACATGTTGTTGGTTTTAAACATACTTTCACTGCAGATCTGACAAAACGCAAAGAAGGTACCAATGTGAGATTTCCAAAGATAGCTACAGCACTCAAGCCAAGGTTTAAGAATCTGAAGTGCCTTCCAAAATCTGAGAGGGACAAAGTGTGGAGCATGCTTTCAGAAGTCTTAAAAGAGCAACACTCTGCTGCGGAAACTACAGAACCCGAACCCCCAAAAAAGAAAATCAACCGTCTGCTGGTGGCATCTGACTCAGATGATGAAAATGAACATGCATCAGACCATATGCTTTGGATCGTTATAGAGCAGAATCCACCATCAGCATGGATACATGTCCTCTGGAATGGGGATTGAAGCACAAAGGGACATAGGAATCTTCAGCGCATCTGGCATGTAAATATCTTGTGACGCCAGCTACAACACTGCCATGCGAATGCCTGTTCTGACTTTCAGGTGACATTGTAAACAAGACGCGAGCAGTATTATCTCCTGCAAATGAACACACTTGTTTGTCTGAGTGATTGGCTGAACAAGAAGTAGGACTGAGTAGACTTGTACGCGCTACAATTTTACATTGTTTTGTTTTTGAATGCAGTTATTTTTGTACATAATTCTACATTTGTAAGTTCAACTTTCATGATAAAGAGATCTCACTACAGTACTTGTAATGGGGGAATTGAAAAATACTATTTAGTTTTTTACAGTGCAAATATTTGTAATCAAAAATAGATATAAAGTGAGCACTGTATACTTTGTATCCTGTGTTGTAATTGAAATCAATATATTTGAAAATGTAGAAAACATCCAAAAATATTTAAATAAATGGTATTCTATTATTGTTTAACAGCACGATTAATCACAATTAATTTTTTTAAACTAGGGTTGTCAAGTGATTAAAGTCAAATCTTTCACTCATTTTAATTCACAAACCCATTAAAAACAACCTATTTTAGCCACTTTTTCCAGTTGATTTCACTGCAGAATTTTTAAGCCTCAGCTGTTTAACATGTCAAATCCCAGCCCTCCCCCCAAACATACAATTTTCTGTGAACTTTTCTACACCTCATTTACTCCCTTCCTCTTCTCACCTCTCCCCCGACAGTTTCTTAGCTCTGAAGTTATGGAAGTTCCCTTTGTGAAATCCACTGCCAGCACCTCCAAGCACACACATGTATCAGGAGCAAGGTTAATGATGTAACGTCCAACCCACAGAACACAAATTTAAATGATTTTTAAGGGCATTTTTTCAGTGTTTAAATGCACCATAAAGGGGAGTATAGATAGATCACTGCATTTTAAATAACAGTAGGACAAGTGAATTTGTGCAGCACCTAGCACAAAGGGGACACAATCCCAATGGGGGCTTCTGGACTCTATTGTAATAAAAACTAATAAAAAGCTTCCACACAGACAGTGAACCCAACACCCCTGTCAATATACTAAAGAACCAGCAAGTGATACTAACTTAACTTGTCATTATCCCAGATATGACAAGTTAAAACAAAAACAAAATAGTGAAAAGTAAATTAGATTTTTTTTAAATGTCAATTTAGTGTGTGTTAGCACCAGAGGCAAGAGAATTATTATATTTGACTGAATTCCTGTAGCTTTTTTTTTGTCATTTAAAACTGAATAATGCTGCATGGTAAGCAAAATGGCACACAACAAGATATCCCATTGGTTGGTTTGAGTTGAATTTCTCATAACACAGATGCTATCCAGTGCCTTCCTATTATAGTGCCTTTCAGTACAGAGAAGCCAGACTGAGAAGATCTGTATGTTCACTTTTAGTATAATACAGTACACTAGACAATATGAAAGCAACATTGTATCACATATCAAGTTCCCATAAGTTTATATGCTGCAATGCAATTCATGAAGAAGTGCCAGAAGAGACACGCTGCTTTACAGATTTACTTACAAAACCTCTTCACCTGTTGGTTTAAACCCTACCAATTCCTTCATGGGCTCATTTAACTGTGTGACTTATTCATCAAAGTGGACAAAGGAAAAATGTAATACTGATCTCTTGGGAGAGATTTTAACAACTTACAATTGACATTCTAATGATCTGTATGTCAAGTCTGTCACACTTTAGGAAATATGCTTTATTGTTCATATACAAAGCTACATGATGCTTTTTAATAACACCAGAAACCATGAAGACTTAAGTGCTACAGTATATCTTGTAGTGATTGTTACATTGTCCCGATATTTAACTGGTCAAATCCGCCATGCACTTCTAGAAAGTTGCTGGGTTTGTTCAAATGCACTATTTATGCATTATGATTGGTATGCTCAAATCCATTCATTATACTGCAGATTAAAGGTCTCCAATAAAAAAAATACCATTTCAATACATTCCTCCACATTGAGTGCTAGAAATCTAGTCATCATATTTATCTTTACTGAAGCTAATATGAATATACAATTAAAGTAACTTCAGATTTTATTCAGAAGAATCTATTTTCCAACAAAAACTTTGTTTTTGACAATAATGAATGAATATTGCAAGCGACATTCTGCAGCAGAAGCTGGAGTGTTGGGACAGCAACTAAAAGTCTACATATCAGCAATACAGACACTTTTACATGAACTCTGACCATTTTTAATATTAACATTAAGAACCAGGTGCTTTAAAGTTTGTGCGCCTGTCAAGCAATTAAAACCTCCACACAGGAAAAAAAAAAAAAAAAAAAAGAGGAAAAAATCCACAGAACACAGTATTTCAGAGACTATAACACTTTAGACACTTCCATGACAACTCAGATCAGATTGGCAACTGAAACTTAACATCCACCTGAGCTTGCTTTGCTAAGGTCACTATTTCTGAAAGTTTCACAACCTGGGGGAGAAAAGGAAATAAAGTTATAAAGAGATAATTCAAGAAATATTAACAGTTTAACAAATGACACTACTAAATTTTAGGAGTTCAACTAGACAGTCTATTTTAGAAAGTGATGTCAGAAAGAGCTTGCCATAAGAAAAAAAATAGATTCATAGATTTAAAGGCCAGAAGAGACCATTGTGATCATGTAGTATGCATGACACAGGCTACAGGACTTTCCTGAATTTAATTTCTGGTTCAAGTCCAATACCTTTGGTTGAACTAGAGCATCTCTTTTAGAAAAAGTTTTCCCTACTGTTACTCACACCACCTTGTCAACTGTTTGAAATGGGCCATCCTGATCATCACTACAAAAGTTTTTTTTCTCCTGCTGATAATAGCCCACCTTAATTGATTAGTTTTGTTAGAGTTGGTATGGCAACACCCATTTTTTCATGTTCTCTCTCTCTCTCTGTGTGTGTGTGTGTGTGTGTGTGTGTGTGTGTATATATACATATATATACACACACACACACACACACACACACACACACACACACACACACACAAATAGAATCATAGACTATCAGGGTTGGAAGGGACCTCAGGAGGTCATCTAGTCCAACTCCCTGCTCAAAGCAGGACCAATCCCCAGACAGATTTTTGCCCCAAATCCCTAAATGGCCCCCTCAAGGATTGAACTCACAACCCTGGGTTTAGCAGGCCCATGCTCAAACCACTGAGCTATCCCTCCCCCTCATCCTACTGTATTTTCCACTGCATGCATCCGATAAAGGGGTTTTAGCCCACGAAAGCTTATGCCCAAATAAATTTGTTAGTCTCTAAGGTGCCACAATGTACTCCTCGTTATTTTTGGATTTAAGAAGTTTCCTGTGATGAAGAATTCACCACAACTCTTATTAAGTTGTTCCAATTGTTAATTACCCTCACTGTTAATATATGCACCTTATTTCTAGTCCACATTTGTCTAGTTTAGTAATCCATGCTGGCCACCTGGCATCTAACAGATGCTAATGATGTTGTTTGTTCATAACGTTATAAAACCAACAAATTGTGCATAAGTAATCTACACAATCATGTGATCCTATTACTGCCACCCTCATTTTTCCCTCTTCCGTTTGTTTGTTAAACCTACTTGCTGCATTATTTTAAAACAAAGCTCTTCAGGGAGTTAGGACTTGTCTACGAAGAGTTAACCTGGAAGTTGCATGTGAATAACACTCTTATTCTGGAACAGGAGTGCCTTGTTCCTGTTTAGTTTAAGCCACGTTGAAAGTGGGTTAAACTAAACAGGAACAAGCCACTCCCATTCCAGAACAAGAAAATGCCCACACATTGCACTTTAAAATTAATCCATGTTAATTTTCAAGTGTAGTCAAACCCTTATATTTTAATATACATTTATACAGTGCTCAGAACAATAGGCCTCAATCCAACTGGGGCCTCAGAGTGCTTTTTTAACACAAGTAAATATTCTCTGGAGAAATTTATGTTATTTTTAAACTACTAGTACCTTTTAAAGTGATTTACCTGTTGGTATATAGGATATAATTTTAGATTAGCAAAACAAATTAATTTGGGTCATGTTAACCTTGACAAACTTATTTCTTCGTTTATAAAATGGTACCAGTAGCTTTGGATGGTGGGCACCTTATACAAATGCAATATAGGTCTAAAACCCAAATTCTCTGCTGCAGAAGCATTGTAATGATCAACCAAGGGCTTGATCAGCTTAACAGAATTTCCACTCTGCCTTTAAACTCAGTTTTGTGGATCAGGGTGAGTAGGTTGTTCCCCTGAACGCAGCTAGTTCTGGAGAGTTCAACCCCAGGAGGTAACATTACAAATGATTCAGATTATACACTGGTAGCACCCTTGCTGATTAGGGAGTTCCAATACTTACCTTGGCCTTGAACTACTAAAAGTGTTGACCTAAAAGTACACTACCAAGGAGGGGTGCACCATTAGAAGTGCAGCCTTTCAGATGAGATTTTCACTTGAGGTCCCCCTTCTGCCCATCTACAAAATTAAAGATCTCTTGGCTCTTTTATAAAAATAGGTAATAATCTGGGCAATATTCCTCTCTAGCAATATAGAGCAGGTTCCTAGTTTGGGGTAAAATAAATTCTGCCTATAAAGTCACCGCCCTACCAGTTAGTTACTGCTTTGTGAAATACACCTCTACCCCGATAGAACGCTGTCCTCGGGAGCCAAAAAAATCTTACTGCATTATAGGTGAAATCGCGTTATATCGAACTTGCTTTGATCCATCGGAGAGCACAGCCCCACCCCCCCGGAGCGCTGCTTTACCGCGTTATATCCTAATTTGTGTTATATCGGGTCGTGTTATATTGGGGTAGAGGTGTACTTTGGATACATAGTGTCAGTGATCTTCAAGGCTTCAAATATTTTATCCTAGACTCCTGTTTTAAGTTGACTGGGGGAAGATACAACTTTACTAAGACTACATATTAAAGCATACCATCTGTTATGAAGAGTTATGCAAAAAGCTCTTTCTTGCTCACCATTTTAGCAGCTTCATCCAAGTCATCACAAGCAAGGATTTTGAGACCACTAGCTGTTATTAAAGCTTTGGCATCATCAACTCGTGTACCTGAAGAAAGAGAAGTAGTTTTAAACAACAGAATTCAGTACTGAATGAAATAATGACCTACTAACTATCCGCTTCAATCAGAGACCATGTGAGCTGGTGATGATCAAGTTTTCCAGGACAGATCTACCAAGACATCTCAAAATTGAGATAAGTACAGTATACACTAGAAGGCATTTACAGTAGCTGCAAGTTAGATTTGCTGTTCTAAAATGTCAACTAAACAGTTACCAAAAAAACAATATGGTAAGAAATAAATATTTAATAGAGTCATCAAGAAAAACACTAGATTTTAGATGTTAGTATATATTTCTCTTTACAAAATATTCTTCTGTATACAAGCAATTTTGCTATGCATTAAGTGAACTACTAAACACAGTGATCACTATTATTAGTATTATTCTAGCACCTAGGAGCACTATTGACAAACAAATCCAAAGGCTTAGATTTACACAGTATTGAAGAGTGCTCACCTTGTAACCGTACAACAATAGGTATTTTTAGGTCCAAATCCTTTACTGCCATAATGATACCTTGTGCAATAACATCACATCGCATAATGCCTCCAAAAATATTCACCAGAATAGCCAGTACCTACATACAGAAAACAGCACGTAAGGTTATACATTTAATGATAGAACACATATCAAGTCCACCATCCTACTAGAATATTATGAAGAATTTTAACAAGCAGCAAATAGCTCATCACATCAGATAAAGGGATTCAGCCCACTCAGATGGGCAAAAATCAGTTCTAAAAATTCAAGCTCCAGAAATTCAGTGCTAAGCACATGGTTTAAGAAAACCTTCATTCATATTCTAGAAGAACTCAGCAGAAAAGTTACTCGTCTCTAAAATAATGTACATCAGAATCCCGTTTATCTGATCTAATTGGGACTGGGAGAAAGATAATCAAAGATTCGGATAATCTGGAATATGGGACAGTGTGAGGCTGCAGCACCATCTAGTGGCCAACATGAGAGATTGCCCGCTTCTGGACCAGTGTGCACTGTTACGTTTATATGGAGTCAGATAATGGATGATCGGATAAACAGGGTTCTACTGTACTGCAAGACAATTATTGCAGGACTAAGTATTATCTAGATCATCCCCAACAGGTGTCTGTCTAACCTGTTCTTAAAAATCTCCACTGATAGAGATTCCACAACCTCCCTGGGCAATTTATTCCAGTGTTTAACCACCAGGCAGATTTTCCTAAAGTCCAACCTAAACTGCCCTTGCTGCAATTTAAGCCCATTGCTTTTTGTCCTATCCTCAGAGGTTAAGGAGAGCAATTTTTCTCCCTCCTCCTTGTGACAACCTTTTATGTACTTGAAAACTGTTATGATATCCCCTTCTCATTCTTTTCTTTTCCAGACTAAACAAACCCAGTTTTTCCATCTTCCCTCATAAGTCATGTTTTCTAGACCTTTAATCATTTTTGTTACTGTCCTCTGGACTTTCTCCAATTTGTCCACATCTTTTCTTAAATGTACCACCCAGAACTGGACACAGTACTCCAGTTGAGGCCTAATCATCATGGAGTAGAGTGGAAGAATTACTTCTCGTGTCCTGCTTACAACACTCCTGCTAATATATCCCAGAATGATGTTTGCCACTTAAACTTCAAAGACGCTCCGTGATTTATTTTTGTTTTTGGAAGGTTCTATATTTGCCCTTTAAGGCACCAAGAGTAGCAGACACTAATAACCATTCCTGATTTGTTAAAAGGTAACTGAAATAAGATGCAAACCAAAGAGAACCTTTTGATCTCTAACAAGAATGTAAAAATGACTGCACCATGACTTTTCTCGATAGTCTTGCTCAACCAATTTTCTGGAGAAAGCAATTACTTTTATTCAAAGAAAAAAAATAATTAAACCTCAGCTATTAAAATCAGTGTCATAACTGTTCCATTTGCCAACAGTTTGGCCTTCCAGTTTAAGACAATCCTGCTAGAAGTATTCCTCAAACTAATACTTTGGCCTGTCACCTGTAACATGAACTCTGTTGAAGGACCTACATGAGAAGAGAGAATGAGCATGCTTTTTTTAGACTGAAGGTCATTAACTTTACCACCATGTCTTGGCAGATTACATTTAATGTTAGAAGTTAGATTATGAGTAAGAGGGCTGGGGCACAGGAAAATGACAATAATTCTTCTTGAGCTCTATTATACAGTCTGTATGACGCTACTGCAAGTGACCAGTTCAACTGGACAAAATGCCCACTCAATACAGTGTGTGTTAAAATAAGTTCTCTAAATTAAGTTCTCTAACATAAGAAAGTCATTTTCAAATACTTCAGCATATTGCAATGTTCATTCTTTTACTTTCCTAGATAAGGGATACAGCAGCTACCATACGGATGTCTTCAGCACCAGAAAATATGCTTTAACACAATATATAGGTGGTAGGGAAAGCAACCAAACAGGCAAACAAACTCAGCTTAGAACAAAAAGAAAAGCTACATTTTAAAAGGTGTTCTTCAGCATTTTAGCCCCCTTTAAACAAAGTCAAGTTTATTGAAACCGTTTTAAATTATTTTAGTCAAAAGGAAAAAGTTATGATCTTCTCTCCTCAAACAAGCCTAGATGGCAAAGAGGCCAAGGCTACGGGACTGTGAGGTTAAAAGTACTTTCAGAACTTGACTGCCTCTCTCAGAGGAAGACAAGGTGGGTGAGGTAACATCGGTTATTGGACCAACTTCTGTTGGGGAGAGAGAAAGAGAAGCTTTCGAGCCATACAGAGCTCTTCAGATGAGATCTGAAGAAAAGCCCTCTGTGGCTCGAAAGCTTCTCTCTCCAACAGAAGTTGGTACAATAACAGATACTACTTCACCCACCTCGTCTCTCTAATATTCTGGGACCAACACACCTACAACATGTCTGAGGGAGTGATTTGATCATTTCTGTAGCTACTAGGTAGGCAATGCCTCTGTGTTGGTACACCGAGGCATGAAAAAAGTATTATGGAGGGAGGTGGAGAAAAATCAGAGAAAAAGTAGAAGGTTGAGGCTCTACAGAAGGGTGTAAGGAGCTTGGCTGGAAAGCAAGCAGATAGGACGCACAGTTTTTTGGTTAGAGCATGTGGGCTGGGATTCAGGATCCTGGGTTCTATTCCTGACTCAGTCTCCACAACATTTCAGTGTGAATAAAAAAGATTTTTAATAAAGATTTACTTAAAACTTAAGTTTCCAACCAGCTGTCAAACACACAAACTGGTGAAAAGTTGTTAGGGGCCCTCACCTAGTCCAATACAACCTTCAGGGCACAGTACAAGGCCCATCTGCAGAAATTTGATAAGGGTGGACAGGGAAGGGATTAACTGGATCACTGTCCTGCTCTCACCACAGGCAACCAATACTGAGAGATGGGAAAGACCAGAGCATCAGCAGTGCTTCAGAAGATTTCAACAATTGATGTGCTAAGACTTTCAGTGCATAAGGCAGCAGGGAAATCAGTGTGAATGCCGATACCTCATGAACCAAATGAGCCAAGTCAGAAGACATGACAGCATGATGCACAAAGAGTGCTTTGATTGCAATAAGTGCTCTGACATTTCTCAAAGCAAGGTCTGCGGCAAGCATCAAAGGAAATACTATGGTCTTCAAGATGAAAAGGAACAATCTGCATATGTCCTCAAACACCACTTCAGATCAGTCTCCCAGTCCTGAATCTATAGGCAGGGCCGGCTCTGGCTTTTTCGCCGCCCCAGGCGAAAAAGCCTCCGGCCGCCCCCCCCCCCCCCCCCACAGGGAGCCCCGGGGGGAGGCTAGCGAGCCCCGGCGGGGGCTCCGCTCTCCCCCCGGCGGCCAGGGGCAGGGCGCCAGGGGGGAGGGCAGCCGGAGCCCTGGGAGGAGGGCGGCGAGCCCCAGCGGGGGCTCGGCTCTCCCCCCCCATGGGCGAGGGCGCCGGGGACGGGGCGGCGGGCCCCGGCTGGGGCGCGGGGCGCCCCCCCGGCGGCCAGAGCGCCGGGGGAAGCGGCGAGCCCCGGTGGGGACAGGGCAGCGAGCCCCGGCTGGGGCTCGGCTCTCCCCCCCGGCGGCCAGAGCGCCGGGGGAAGCGGCGAGCCCCGGCGGGGGCAGGGCGGTGAGCCCCGGCGGGGGCGCGGCGAGCCCCCCTCCCGGCGGCCAGAGCGCCGGGGGGGAGGGCGGCCGGAGCCCTGGGGGGAGGGCGGCGAGCCCCGGCTGGGGCTCGGCTCTCCCCCTCTGGCGGCCAGAGCGCCGGGGGCAGGGCAGCGAGCCCTGCTGTAGCCCCGCTCTCCCCAGCGGCCGCCGCGCCGCGCCGCCCCCCTCCAGGTGCCGCCCCAAGCACCAGCTTGGGTGCCTGGTGCCGGCCCTGTCTATAGGAAGAGGACACTAGAGGCTTTGAGGTGGAGCTACAGAGTTCAGGCTTCAGAACGGAAGAATGCCAGGAAAGCAAATTGCTCTCTGCACTTCCTGCTGATACTTCCCCTGGAGAGGTAAAGTGTCATCCAGTGAGCTGGACCTCAGTACCACTGATATCAGGCACACTGCTTGCAGTGAAGCCCAAGGCTTTGTAGAATGACAATGTCTCAACACTGGGCCCAGAGGGAAGCATAGTGTTGGTATTCAGTAGCTGAAGCCAACTCAGGCTACTTCCAGAAGCTCTTCTTCACAGCATTCTGGGCTAGCCTTGTGCTGATCTTAAATAAATAAATAAATAAATTAATTAATAAATAAATTAATGGAGATATCCCATCTCCTAGAACTGGAAGGGACCTTGAAAGGTCATCAAGTCCAGCCCCCTGCCTTCACTAGCAGGACCAAGTACTAATTTTGCCCCAGATCCCTAAGTGGCCCCCTCAAGGATTGAACTCACAACCCTGGGTTTAGCAGGCCAATGCTCAAACCACTGAGCTATCCCTCCCCCCAAGGGGGTTTTCTAGCTACAGAAAAGATTGGAGGCATTCGCCAAATGCTTGAATGAGACAAATAAGACAATCCCTTCATAGATGCCTGATCCCAGGCAAATGACAGCAAGCATGCTCATCTGTGTACATGATTCATCAGGTCAAGTTTTCTGTACTTTTACTAAATGCATTCAATCATTTTAAGATTTTAAATGCTGCTTTACACTGGACAGAGGTGTTCACTGAGCTACCACAATGACTCAAGGGAGTCATTTATTCTGAGGATGCTACAAGTTCAGAGCCATTGGTGTTCACCCATCACCTTAAAATGTATCCAAGTCAAGTCATCTATCATTGTGCTGTCTAACCTCCTTTAAGGTGACGAACACAACCCAGTTTAAAACCCATCTGTTGTCAGAACTATCTTGATGGCGTATCTGAGGACATCCCCATGCATGAGTTTTAAAAATGTATTTACAGCCCGCTGTGAAGAGATTCTACAGAACACCATCATTTTAATCTGCATACATTTAAGTTAAATTTTAAAGCCCTTGAAATGCTATGATCAGAGAACAAAATTAACATGGAAAAATGGTAAGAACTGTGACCTTATTAGCAGTTAAATGGCAATCATTTAACAATTTTTTTTTAAGACATGAAAGTCTATCTTCACAAAATTAAATGTACATTAAAGCCGCTTTAAGCTATACATGCAAGCATCATTTTTCAGTCAATCAGCCAAATGACTAAAATTTGAATATTCTTTTGTTCTTTAAATTAATACCTGAAAAATATTTTGGTCTTTACATTAAATTAAATATCTGAAATTGGATTCCAAATAAATACCCTTCACAGGGATTATTATGTCATGACTTCTTGGTCCTTGACCAGACATTATATCAACATGTATAGAACATGCTCCATGGGGAGGTTATGCCAGGGGTTTACCAAATACTGTTGATGAAACCATTCCATTGCTACTGGCCACCTTGTATCAAGACTGTTGTCTCAATAGTTTTCATCAGGCAACGTGTTTTTAGGGTTTAAGAGGAGACAGGCTTCAGCCAAGTTTCCTATCAATTCCTGTTGTTGGGTGCTTGAACAAACATGAAATCTTGGGATCCCAGCACACAGTGGTGACGAGCAATTCAGCTTCTATCAAAGAGCTGTTTTGTCAGCAAGCCATCCAAGCATTCACTCTGTATTTACACAGCAGCAGCAGATAAGCCAGCCTGAAAAAAAGTAGATGGTCCTAGCCCACCACACATTGAACATGCATTCCTACTACTACCCAAGAGAGTTTACAGCGTTAAGTAGGCTCTCAATGCACTTTCATACATAGAATGTTGACGGAAAACACTGTGAAGAATCTTTCATCTGAAGAGCTATGCAGAAGTAACATTACCTACTTTATCTTGATTTATAACCTTAGAAAGGAACAGGAGTGTTTTACCCTAATCCTTCATCTTAACATGACAGTGCACCAAGGTCACTGTGTGAACTAGGAGTCAGTACTCCTATCATGCTGCAACCCTTTGGTTACACAAAGCTGGTCAGCTCTCATCTCTCCACAGCTAACTCAGCATTTCCTCCCCTACTAACTCTCAGCCACCTCAGGCTTTTAATGCAGCACATATCGCTGTATTAGTCATCTCTGTTTCCTACCATCAGTCTCTACACCTCTGCTTCCTGTCCACCTCACCTATTGCCCAGGGACAGATCTCCTATCTTTTTCCCAGCTCCCACGAACCTCCATCCCTCTGGAATCACTCGCTTCTCATCACCACAACCCTCCAGCTGCATAACTGTCACTAGCCATCTGATTTCTTCTTCACTCAGCATTCCACAAAAAGATAATAGTATTGTTCTTAATTGTACTAATCTCTCCCTTCATCCACTAAATGCCCCACTGTTATACAGAACCACAACTTACATCCATTGTATCTGCCAGCCAGCCCTTTTCGCTGCAGCCTTAACCCTCAATGGAGGTGGAATACAAGCAAGCAGTGATACCATGGATACCAAGTTCTATTTGCCAGCGTGACTGATAATACAAAGTCAAAGGGGTACTTCATAAGCAAAACCAGAATTGCTCTAGTGACTCACTTCAAGCTCTTCTCCATTCTGCAGGGAGAGATGAAATACTCCAAAAAGATACTGATGAGTACTCATGGGCAATACTGCTTTGTGATGTGCTTTGAAATTGAGCACACTGAAGGAATGATTTAATTCAGGAGGAAAAAACAGGATTGGGGGTTCAGGGAAAGAAGATGGGAAGACGGAACAGAGTGACCTTTTTAAAACCTTCGCTGGATGATTGGGGAGAAAATGTGAGCAGATAGTGGGTGGGTGAAGGCCTCAAACTTAAAGTGAAACGTTGTTAGTGCCAAATAAACTCAGCTTTCCTTCATGGTATTACTCCTATCCATCAGTAAATGTATGTCACTAGGGAAGCCATAGAGTTCTTCCTCCTGTTGCCCAAAATTATACTCAGTTAATCTTTAATTAACATTCAAATAAAATTTATATATTATTCCAACATAGGTTCAAAGATCCTGGAACTCTTCAAAATAGTACTGGGACATTTGTATCTTTCCAGACAAGTTATCAAAATAATTTTATCTTGCAATGTTACTATGTTACCAAATAGCACCTTAGAATCTTAACGTTTATGTACAAATCAGACAATACCCGTTACAATCTAAGTCTGGAATCCTGCAACTGGATCTGCATAGACAGACACGTGCACCAGCATGAATCTAGTTGCAGGTTTGGTACCCAAGTCAGAGATGGACAAGAGTCTAACATGACACCAACATACATACAGTTTCAAATTCCTTTTCAAACAAGGAAAAGACATACTTAGGATATTCTAGGAAACCCCATATTAGCCTAGCTGGCCACTGATCTAAGTACAAATAATTTTGGTATTGCTAAAGAAATTCTGCTTTATCTAGTGTAAAATAAGACAGCCTGGTTTGAAATCACTTAGTTTATTCAGCAAGGACAGTTAAACAGATTTAAGAATTTTTTAAAAGGGTAATAACAGCACCTCAGTACTTGCTTACAGTACTACAGACGTGATTTTTGAAACTGGGGATCAAGTTACTGGTGTTGTTCATTTGAGTCTGCTAAGTGTATTTGCGCTTTAAAAAAGTACACTAGAGCTGAAGCTGCGAAGATAATTAAAAGGTAAGCTGTTTACTATTTATTCTGAATACATGTAACAATGCATCTGCTCTATGTTTATACTGCATCTAAATGACTTTCATCAGCTCCTAGAGAATAACTGTTTCTATTTAATTTGCTACTATCTTTAACCTCCCTTCAAATTACATAGGAAAGTGTTTATTTATTCCCTTTTCTCATGCTAATTCTATTAGAAAATTCTAGTTTTATTTTTAAAAGGAGTATTTTTAATTCCCACTAAAAAAATGACTTGCAAAGAAGGGAGTTTGGTAGCCTCCTCCTTTTAATAAAAAACTTTATACATAAAAATTGAGTGTTTTCTTCAGAACAGGGTTTGCTACTTCTCCCCTCCCCTCAGATACATTACAAGTGTTAGGTATCCTCTACTAATTTTGCCAGTTAACTGCTTTGGAAAAAGTAGAGAACTACTGTGAATTACATCACAACTGTCTGAAATCTGTGCAATTGACAGACATTTTGAGAAAAGGCTCTGTGGGAGATTCAAATACTCATGCTTGTCCCTTCAACTGAGGGCTGAGACTTCCTACTTCAGTTCTCCTTCCTGTTCTTTGCTGAAGGACTGAAGACTGATATTCCTGACAAGAAAGAAACATGTAGGAAAAAACCTTAACATGTTTTTCAGGCACATTGTAAAGTAGCAAAGACAGCACAGTTCTCCCCTCTTTGTAGCTCACCTTTAAAATCCATGTCTACTAGTGGAAACATACAATACATACATTGTCATAAGGCATTTTAAAATAATTACTCAACAGTGCAGAACTTTGAAATACTAATCCTTGTTTTACCTTTTTATCTGAAGTAATAAGTTTAAAGGCTTCTGTTACTTGATGTACTGTAGCGCCACCGCCAACATCAAGGAAATTTGCTGGAGTGCCTCCATGAAGTTTAATTATATCCATTGTGGCCATAGCCAAACCAGCACCATTCACTGTAAGAAAAAAAGTTACAATTAAGAATTCCATTAGCAGCAAGTACATCAAAGGATTCTAAACATCTATTATGTAGAACATACATACCTAAACACCCTATGTTTCCGTCTAGTCCTATGTAGTTGAGGTCTGCTTTAGCTGCATCCTTGTCTCTCTCATCCTCCTGTGTCCAGTCCTGCATATCAAAGATTTTCTGCTGACGATAGAACGCATTGCTATCAAAGTTTATCTTTGCGTCCATACACATCACTTGGGAAAACAAACAAAAAAATTGTTTAATGCCTTTATCTTTAAAAAGGTGAAATACTTCTCTGAAATACTTATTCTATTGTATATTAGGGCACCAAATAATTCTTTTTTGGCATTACATGCTAACTCATGCAGCCTTCATTCCATAAATTTCAAGGCCAGAAGGGACCATTGCGATCATCTAGTCTGGCCTTCTATATAACACAGGCCATAGAACTTCCCCAAAATAATTTCTAGAGCACATATTATAGAAAACATCCTATTGGATTTTAAAATTGCCAGTAGTTGAGAATCCACATGACCCTTGGTAAATTGTTCCAATTATGCCTTACCATTATTAATATATTCTTCATTTCCAGTCTGAATTTGTCTAGTTTCAACTTCCAGCCACTGGATCTTATTACATCTTTGTCTGCTAGATTACAGAGCAGTTTATCATCAAATTTCTGTTCCCCACTTATTTATAGACTAATCAAGTCACTCTTTAACCTTCTCTTTGTTAAGCTAAACCAGGGATCGGCAGCCTTTGTCACATGGCTCGCCAGAGTAAGCACCCTGGCGGGCCGAGCCTGTAGCGGTTTGCCGCTGCAGGCCAACGGGGGCTCGGGAAGCCGCGGCCAGCACATCTGCGCTGCTTCCCACAGCCCTCATTAGCCTCGGACTGAGAGCCGCGGCCAGTGGGAGCCGCAATCGGCCAAATCTGTGGACGCGGCAGGTAAACAAACCGGCCTGGCCCACCACGGTGCTTACCCTGGCGGGCCGAGTGCCAAAGGTTGCCGATCCCTGAGCTAAACTGACTGAGCTCCTTCAGTCTACTCACTATTAAGGCACATTTTCTAATCCTTCAATCATTCTCATGGTGCATCTCTGAACCCTCTCCAATTTATCAACACTCTTCTTGAACTGTAGGCATCAGAACTGGACACAGTATTCCAGCAGTGGTCGCACCAGTGCCAAATACAGAGGTAAAATAATCTCTCTACTCCTCCGAGATTCCCTTATTTATGCAAGCAAGGATCACAATAGCCCGTTAGGACACAGCATCGTACTGGAAGCTCATGTTCAGTTGAATACTCATCACGAGCCCCAAATCTTTTCCAGAGGCCATGATTCCCAGCACAGAGTCCCGCATCTTGTAAGAATGGCTTATACAGTGGAGTCGCATCTTATGCGGGGGTTAGGTTCTAAAGTCAGCATGTAAGGCGAAAATCGCATATAGTCAAAATTACCCTTGAAAATCCCTTAAATTGCCCATAAGTACAGTATACTTACATGGTTTTGTGTATACAACCCTGTACAGAAGTATAATAAAGAGTACATATGCAAAATATAATTTACAGTACTGTATTTTTAATTACAGGGGGTCGTCAGGGCTTGATGTCGATCCAGGAGACGGAGGTGACAGAGCTTAGGTGACGGAGAGCAAGTCGTAGACGAAGTGGTTGGCTCTGGTTCAGCTCGAGAAGTTGATTGCGTAGGCTCATCTGCTGCTGGTTGTTTTTCCTTGAAAAAAAACCTAGTGATCGGCAACTGTCGCTGTTGTCTCTTGAGCTGCTCAAACATTTCTTGATATGGTCTCAAATCGTCCGTAATACTATGTGTGATTTTGAGGCTTCGTTCTATAGAGGGATAGTATTCAGAAATTAAATCATTCAAGTGTTTCGCTGCTTGGAACACTTCAGCAAATTTAGGAAGATTCCAACTTGCTGGCTCTTCTTGTTCGTCATCATCATCATCATCATCTTCGTCTTCCGTAGACGATTTTATCAGTTCCTCTAACTCTTCGTTAGTCAATGTTTCTCTATGGCTCTCAATTAATTCTTCAATTTCTTCCTCAAGGATGTCGATGAAGCCATCACCACCCACTTGCCTGGCCACCTGAACAATGCATTTCACTTCTTTGTCAATGGTTGGGAAACCTTTAAAATCATTCACACATTCTTTCCATAGGTTTTGCCAACATGCATTGACTGTTTCAGGCTTGATTGCATCCATTGCCTGTTTAATATAAGTGATGCAATCGGCAATGTTTAAGGACTTCCAACACTCCATCCCATTAAGATTGGGATCAGCATCCATAGCACTACGTATCCGTGAGAACGTAAGCCTTGTGTACGTGGCCTTGAAACAGTGAATCATGCCTTGGTCGAGAGGATGGATGTGGTATTGGGGGGGGAGGGGAGAGAAGAAAGACTACTTCAACATCGTTATGTGCAAACCGGAGTGCTGCAGGGTGGCCAGCAGCACTGTTTATGATCAGCAACACTTTAAAGTCAAGTCCTTTCTCTTCGAGGTACCGCTTGACCTCCAGAATGAAACACTTGTGGAACCAATCCAGAAATATTGCTGCCATCACCCAAGCCTTTTTATTTGATTGCCAGAACACAGGCAGATTTTTTTTCTTGCCTTTTAGGGCATGGGGATTTGCAGCCCTGTAGAGCAAGCCAGGCTTTATTAAATGCCCAGCAGCGTTGCCACAAAACAACACAGTCACATGGTCTTTAGCTGCTTTGAAGCCAGGGGCTTGTCTTTCTGATTTTGAAATGTAAGTGTGGTTGGGCATTTTTTTTTTCCAGAAGAGCCCAGTCTCGTCAGCATTAAAAACTTGTTCCGGAAGACAGCCCTTTTCTTCTATGATTTTCTTTAATTGTTCGGGGTAGGCTTTTGCTGCCTCTTCATTGGCAGATGCAGCTTCACCAGCAATCTGCACGTTTTTGGGGTTGAAGCGGTTCCTAAAACTGTTAAGCCAACCTTGGCTGGCTTTGAATTCCTTCTCATCAGAAGGCTGTCCCTCTTCAGCAGGAGGTTTGAACAGCGTGTAGAGGCTAAGAGCCTTTTCTCGCAACGTGTTGCCATCAATGGGCACACGTTTACGATTCATGTCTTCCAGCCATAACTTTAATGCCTTTTCAGTCTTCACTAGAGTCTTATCATGCACCTGGCTCGTCACCTTAGCAGTTATTGGAGCACTTGATGCCACGGCTTGGCAAATTTCTCTCTTGAATCTTGATGGCACAGATGCTAGATTTGTTGCGGCCATATTTACGCGCCACATTGGAGACTGACATACCGTCTCTCAATAAGTCCAACACAGCCAGTTTTTCCTCCAGCGTTGGAACAGATCGCTGTTTCTTCGGTTGAGCACCAGATGAAGTAGTTGGCTTGGGTTTAGGGGCCATGTTGTACGAAAAAATACATATCTTTAAACACTAGAATCACACTCAATGCGGCGAGATGCTCACACTATGAGAGGCACGCAGGAACTGAGACCGACTGAGGGAACAGCAGATTCACGTCTCCCATCTCATGCTCACTCCGGGGCACACGCTCATTGACTGGAATGGTGGGTGGAATCGCCCGCACTATTTACAGGTATCTTGTTGTTTTTCTTTTTTTTGCCGAGTGCGTATAGTTGAATTCGCGCAAGTTAAATGCGCGTATGATGCGACTCACCTGTACTCTTTTCTCCTAGATGTATTAAATGCACGCGGTTTGCTTTTGCCCAATTTACCAAGTGATCCAGATCACTAGCAGTGACCTGTCCTCCTCTTTATTTACCACTTCTTTATTTACCACTCCTCCAATTTGTGTCATCTGCGAACTTTATTAGTGATGATTTTATGTTTTCATCTAGATCACTGATCAAGGTGTTAAAAAGCATCAGGCCAATCAATCAATCCCTGTGGGACCTTACTAGAAACACAACTGCTTGATGACTCCCCCCCCCAAATACAATCGTATTTTGAAACCGATCAGTTAGTCAGTTTTTAAACTATTTGATGTGCCATATTAATTTTGTAATGTTCTAGTTTTTCAGTCAAAATGTCTTGTGGTACCAAGTCAAATGCCTTACAGAAGAGGTTTTAAGTATATTACATCAACACTATTACCTTTATCAAACTTATAATCTCATCAAAAAATCATTAAGTTAATTTGACAGGATCTATTTTCCATAAACCTATGTTGATTGTTAATCAACCCAATTACCTTCCTTCAATTCTTGAGTATTAGTTGCTCCTTTATCTTGCCCAGGATCAATGTTAGACTGACAAGCCCATAACTACCCAGGTCATCCTGTTTACCCTTTTAAATATTGGCACAACACTAATTTTCTTCCAAATGTTACTGCAAATCAACATTAATGGTTCAGCAAACTCCTCAGCAAGCTCTTTTAAAACCCTGGGATGCAAAGTTCTGCTAAAAATACTTTAGGTAAATATCACAGGACTAGCTAATACCAGATTACCTCACATTAGAGGCATTACCTGATCTCTGGCCTCCTAACTTGCAAGTATCTTTACACGTATAAATGCATTTTTTGAAGAGCGATTTTTACAATATTTGTTGCATTTTTAGTAATAACGTGTCTAGAACAGTTAACACAAACTCACCTAAATAAGGGTATGTCTACACTTACCTCCGGAGCGATCGATCCAGCAAGGGTCAATTTATCGCGTCTAGTAAAGACGCGATAAATCGACTGCCGAGCGCTCTCCCGTCAATTCTGGTACTCCACCGGAGAGTGAGACCCAGGCGGAGTCGACAGGGGAGCATCAGCAGACAACTTACCACAGTTGAAAACGCCGTGGTAAGTAGATCTAAGCACGTCGACTTCCGCTACATTATTCACGTAGCTGAAGTTGCGTAACTTAGATCGATCTCCCACCCAGTGTAGACCAGGCCTAAGAAACTGTGCACCAGATTAATCCTTCCACCATGCCCTTTGTATATCTTTAAAAAAGCCACCCACTTAGGCTTCTGCTTTTAAATTAAACTTATGTGCTTCTTAAAGAGAGCATATAACTAAGTCAAAAGAAATGCAGAAAGTCTCAGCAGAACACCAAGGAAGTTTTTCCCACAGATAGTGGAGGGACATTGGGGAAGATGATATTAAAAGCCTAAGCAGACTCCTTGCATCAATGAAATGCCATGTATAAGGTTAAGATTTTGTCACAGTTATTTTTAGTAAAAGTCATGTACAGGTTACGGGCAAGAAACAAAAGTTCATGAAGCCCACAGAATTATTGGGTGGGGAGCTGGCTGAGGGGAGACAACTGAAGCCCAGGCCCCAAGGGGGAAGAAGAGATCCCAAACCCTGGTCCGTGGGGTGGTGAGGAGGAGTCCAGATGGAAGCTCCACCCTCCTTCCCCACCCCCCCAAAAGCAGCTGAGAACTCCGGGCCCCCTTTCTTCCCTCTTGCAGCAGCTGGGACCTCCGGGCACCCTTTCCTCAACCTCCCGCAACGGGGGGGGAAGCTAAAAATGTCATGGAGGTCTCTGAAAGTCACAGAATCCATTACTTCCTTGACCTCTGACAAGCTTACTTAACCATGTACTAAGGAAACTGACAAAAAGGAGACCCAATTACGTTAGGTTTAAGTTCAGAATGTGAAGCACAGTTTCACTAAAAAAAGTGACATACAATACAGTCTTCATCCTAACACTCTTGTATAAAAAGTGCACTGAACTGCCTGCACAAACTAGATGTGCAAATCTGAACAGCAAGGATCAAGCTGAGACTAATACTGAAAATGTTTAAGGAGGAACAGTAGAGATGTGCCAATTCCTACAACATTCCAGCAGATTTCAAAAGAAATACTTACTAACAACAAAAAGCAAACCTGTAGTGGCTGAAAGACACTTCAAGTGTGTAGCTGTACTTTCACCCCACCATCACAGATACTGGGGAAAGTTAAGACAAATGAGAAACAAGAGAAGGTGCAAATACCCAATCTAACCGTAGAACTCTACTGAAAGGACTATAACTGGTTGTTATTTAAACTACATTTCCAAATTAAGATAGTGTTTTCATTATAACTTAACTACACACCAAGAAACTGCATGAAATGCTGTAAGAAGCTTTGGGTGAAGGAAGAATAGCTATAATTTAACCTTTGTTGTATCTGAATTCAAGCTGTCTGAACAAGTCTTCTAAGACTATCAGTTGCCTTTAAGGCAGGTATTCTTAATTGCTGCAAAGTCAAAACTGAAGAAAAGAAATATCCTCTAAAGAAGCAATATTTTATACACAGACTTTTGAGATAGCTTTATTTCAGAGAGGAGAGTTTAAAATAATCCACATCTGATTAAAAACTGCATTTCTTGGGTATCCTGTAGTCATAGGCATAGTTTGACTTTTATATTTTGAGGGGGGGGGAGGGGAGGGGAGGGAGAGAGACAGCTCCAGTCTGGCTAATGTGGCTGCGCATGGGGGGAGGAGGGGGGAGACACAAATTCTGTACCTGCCCGAGGCTTGCAGTTTGGGGGGCAACACCCAGTGTTCCCCCAAACTACACCCATGTCTGTAGTCTCTTCAGAGTAGGAGATCTAAATTAAGGAACAAACCCAACTCAGACAAGAAACAATCTTTTGGATTTAGTTATCTGTGTTTGGGCATCGAGAGAGTATCTACTGCTGGCAACGTAAGAGGTAGGCAACTAACCCTAAAGAGCAAAGTGTCTTCAAGCACCTAGAGTACATTTGGCAAGGAAGTGGGGTTAAGACATTACACTTCCTTCAGTGTCTAAGATGAAGAGTCAGAAGTCACTAGTATTTTGGGTTGCTCAGTTTTTGGGTGCCAGCTTGAAAAAAAATCTTAGATGGACCCAATTTTCAGAAAGGGCCTAATGTCTGAAAATTGCACTTTCAAAGTGCTTTAGGTTGGGCACACAAAAGTGAAGTCACTTCTTAAAACCTTGTCTGAAGAGTTCAACATCAAAGCCAAAAGGGAATAAGATAAATTTGTAGTTAAAGAATTGCAAGAGCTTGGATTCTTTCCAAGAGGAAAAGCTATTATTGCACACAATTGAATGCAACTTCATTCTTGTTCTTCTCCTCAGGAAAAAATACTTACTCTGATAGACTATACTACCAAAGCTTGTTATAACACCAGTGTCAATCTCAATCTGAACGTTAAACCTTGGTTGCCTTTATGGATTACCATGCATGCAGCATTAGGATGCATTCAGTAGTAGCAGCATGGTCCACTAGTTTTGTATGCTCTGAGAATGTATATTTACAGCACAAATATGTCACAAACTACTTTAAGTCCCACCTTAATTACTATTCAAAAACTGATTTGAACATCTAAATATATAGGGCGTTAGCATGAATACTGCAGTCCACATTTACAATGAAAGAAAATTCCAAAAAGCATTAGAGAAATTTGAAGCCAGCCCCCAGTAATTTGCATAGAATTCACGCCATGCAGAGGGCTCCCAGATCCAGTGCTGAATATTAGGGCTGTCGATTAATCACAGTTTTAATCGCACTGTTAAATAATAGAATACCAATTGAAATTTATTAAATATTTTTAGATGTTTTCTACATTTTCATATATATTGTATTCTGCTTTGTAATTGAAATCAAAGTGTATATTATTTTTGATTATAAATATTTGCACTGTAAAAACAACAAAATAAATAGTATTTTTCAATTCATCTCAAAAGTACTGTAGTGCAATCTTTTTGTTATGAAAGTGCAACTTACAAATATAGTTTGTTTTTTGTTACATGACTGCACTCAAAAACAAAACAATGTAAAACTTTAGAGCCTGTAAGTCCACTCAGTCCTACTTCTTGCTCAGACAAACAAGTTTGTTTACATTTACAGGAGATAATGCTGCACTCTTATTTACAATGTCACCAGAAAGTGAGAACAGGCATTTTGTAGTCGGTATTGCAAGGTATTTACATGCCAGATATACTAAACATTCATAGGCCCCTTCATGCTTTGGCCACCATTCCAGAGGACATGCTTCCATGCTGATGATGCTCATTAAAAAAATAATGCATTAATTAAATTTGTAACTGAACTCCTTGGGGGAGAATTGTATGTCCCCTGCTCTGTTTTACCTGCATTCTGCCATATATTTCATGTTATAGCGATTTCGGATGATGACCCATCACATTGTTCATTTTAAGAACACTTTCACTGCAGATTTGACAAAATGCAAAGAAGGTACCAATGTGAAATTTCTAAAGATAGCTACAGCACTCAACCCAAGGTTTAAGAACCTGAAGTGCCTTTCAAAATCTGAGAGGAACAGGGGGGTTGGGGAGGGGGGATGGAGCATGCTTTCAGAAGTCTTAAAAGAGTGACACTTCAATGTGGAAACTACAGAACCCGAACCATCAGAAAAGAAAATCAATCTTCTGCTGGTGACATCTAACTCAGATAATGAAAATTAACATGCGTTGGTCTGCACTACTTTGGATTGTTATTGAACAGAACCAATCATCAGCATGGACGCATGTCCCCTGGAATGGTGGGTGAAGCATAAAGGGACATATAACTTTATCGCATCGGGCACGTAAATATCTTGCGACGCTAGCTACAACAGTGCCATGCAAACACCTGTTCTCATTTTCAGGTGACATTGTAAACAAGAAGCAGGCAGCATTATCTCCTGCAAATGTAAACAAACTTGTTTGTCTGAGCAATTGGCTGAACAAGAAGTAGGACTGAGTGGACTTGCAGTCTCTAAAATGTTACATTGTTTTGTTTTTGAATGCAGTTTTTTTGGTACATAATTCTACATTTGTAAGTTCAACTTTCATGATAAAGAAAGTACACTAATACTTGTATCAGGTGAACTGAAAAATACTATTTCTTTTCTTTTTTTTACAGTGCAAATACTTGTAATCAAAAATAAATATGAAGTGAGCAGTGTACACTTTGTATTCTGTGTTGTAACTGAAATCAATATATTTGAAAATGTAGAAAACATCCCAAAATATTTAAATAAATGGTATTCTATTGTTTAATCACGATTAATCTTTTTCATCGCTCCACAGCCCTGATGAATATGCTTGCAGATGTTTAGGTGCCAGTGTCAGTTTTTACTACATTTTTCAACGTACCATGTTAGTGCTAAATCCTCTTACTGTATATAGTTGGAGAAACTTTAGCAGAACCCCTAAAACAGACATGTTCTGTGCAGATTCAAACTGCCCATCTAAAAAATTCTATAAAGAAGGTACTTTACCAACTCCTGACGCATCTTCTACCATAGGGTTTATTTCTACCATGGTGGCATCATATTTCATAAAGAGATTATATATCTTGATCATATTATCTGCTGCTTCATCCACCAGGTTAGGGGGAAATCCCATTTTCTGGGCCAACTGAAAGTAAAACACAAAGTATTTTGGTAATCAGTTTATAACATTAGGCATTAAAATATTTTATAAATTATTATATATTACTTATATATAATAATTTTATATATTAAATATATAAGTATGATTATTATTAAATATTACTTTTATATATTATTTTAACACAGCTATACAAGTCTAGCCTGTAGCTACAGAACTTTACCTACCCTGCAGGGAGTGGCTCCTGGCTTTTGGTTTTTTTTAAAAACAGTCAATCACATTTATCCTACAAGGGACAGTGAAATTAAGGTTCCCAGGCTATACACTGGCCTAAGTACCCACATCTGGAGCTAGATTTACATTCTTTATTGCAAACTAAACACTACATTAAAATATCTAGTAATAATTTACTAATAATGTTTGGAAGTGTCAGTTTTCTTTAGTCAGCCAAAAGGCTGTATAAAATTTACTAAGTATATTTACAAAAGCAAAACTCCCTCTAACTATGATTGTGTGGAAATGTACTCTTTAGTACCCTGACAGCTTGTTCCTTTTTGATGCCTTCCACAATATCAATGGGTTCCTTAATTATCGCATCAGGAGTCTCTGCAGCAACATCTTCAATGTTAACACCACCATGAGAGCTGCCTATAAGTACAGGACCCTAAAGAAAGAGAAAATTTCAATGTAAGATTTGTATCATTCACTATGTTAATTCTTTCCACAAATATTTCAAAGAACCTCTTGTTCTCAGTATGAGATTCTTGGCTTTTGGCAATCCATTAAAGTTGTCTTTTATTCTCTTACTGTTGCTATCTTTTCATTCAAGATACTTACACAATACTTTTATGATATACGATCACCAAAGAAGTTTTCCAACTCTAAACTCTTATATCAAAAGGAAGCTTTTCCTAGGTTATCATATTTATACTATGGGAAGAACATACCATACTGGCTTAAAGTTAGGACAGAAAAAGGCAGTTATGAAATGGTACATCACACCCTGTGTATCACTTCTGGTTACGCTGTCAGTGTTCATAGTTTACCACACTCCAGCCTCTGAAGGTAAATCTAGGTCTGCACAGCCATTTGCAATAGTTGTTGCACTCTATTTCTATTCACCATGGATCATAAGCCTTGATAACTATAACCACCTCTGAAAACTTCTCACACAGTGCTTGACTGTTCAGTGACATGAGTTAAGTGGTGTCAATACCGTTTCACAGTGCATAAAATGTGTCAAAAAAGCCACTTTCACAATTAATCCCAACAGAGGCACCAAAAACTCAAAGGGCATGGAGACTGAACAATCCTATGACCCTGGAAATGATCCATCAAGTTCAGGGTTGAGGCATGTTTGCTCATATGAGTGAACCAACATTCATTGTCACTACACGTGTAGTACTTGTTGCATGCATAATGAGAGACTTCCACTAGCTAGACTATTAAGTCAGTACTTCCAGTGAGCATCTAAGTAGGGTTTAAAAAACATACTTCACAAGTGTAACTTCAATTACAGTTGTAGAGAGCATGGTTGTTGCTGCATTGGACTGGCTTTTTTTTTTTTTTTTTTTAAATAAAAAGAAAATCATGTTGGATGCTCTTCTTCCAAAAGAAAGATTCTAGAACCATTTCTTAATATTTTGACAACTACATAATGAATGCAGCTGCAAGGAGAGCTACAAGTGCTTTTGAAAACTTTCAGGCATAATTACTACTCAGTATCATTAGAGCCTAAAAGTATTAGTTTTGCTTAAGCCATGACAAGTACATTTCACTCCTTCAGCTGCTTCTGCCCGCAAGGGTTTTATTTTTTTGAAGCAAGGTTTGACACTATCAGAATGCAGGATATACACCACAGAATCCTCATATTTGGGTTTTTTTAAAAAACTCTTACAAGTCTAGGAAAATACATATGGTGTTAATTGGGTGCTGATAATCACCCATCACTAGGAGAATTCTTATCCAAAAGAGAAGAGTCCCCAAATTTATAAGCAATAAACTAAACCTCTACCTAGATATAATGCTGTCCTCGGGAGCCAAAAAATCTTACCGCATTATAGGTGAAACCGCGTTATATCAAACTTGCTTTGATCCGCCCGAGGACCCCCCCCCCCCCCCCCCCCCCCCCCGGAGCGCTGCTTTACCACCTTATATCAGAATTCATATTATATCGGGTCGCGTTATATCAGGGTAGAGGTGTAATTACCAATGCAACCCTGTCAACACAGTTTTGTTTTACAAGTCAAACATGAAAAAGGCCATCTACTTTGGTTAAACTTATCATGGCTGAAACTTGCATGATAAACATTGTTGTTTGAACAATGAAATTTTTAGAGGATAAAATATAGCTATTTGTGGTATTTTAATGCCACCTTGTGGCATAAATGAGGTAAACCTTTTTAGCCACCCCCTTGTCACTCTTGTATAGAAATTAGACAGCTCTGGATGTCATGATAAAGCAGTTTAGAGATTTTTAGATGTTTAACATTGAAATGTTGGACAGTTTCCTATGAAAAGGAAGAGGCCCCTTAACCTAAGAGGAAGAGCAGGGGGAAAAGGAGTAGATAGAATACAAGTTAAACATTTACCAGTTCACCGATTATGCCTGATTTGCATACAAGTTCTAAATCAGAGAGCAGATATCGTTTCCCAAAAAGTTCTTATAACATAAGTGAGAGTGATCTACAGAATTTACTGAACCATCCTCTCTGCGGGCTTTCTAGCATTATTGCACCAACCAAGGAAGCTGGCGGAGGCCATCTGCTCCAGGTCTGAGCTTTAATGATGTAGTTGTACTTTGTACTCAACAGAAATAAGCCTAGCAGAAAGGCGTAACCTGGGGAGAAGATAGTTCTGGTGCTCACACCACCACCACCACCTGGACAGTCCCACAGTTTGTGCAGGACTCAGCTGCAATCCTACGCACACACACCACTGACATCTCCAGGAGGCATCACTATCCTTAAGATAAAAAGGAAGGAGCTTTGCTAGACACTAGAGTAAATAACTTCTTATAAACGTTGCAATGGATCACCACCACAGAATTACATGTCACCCTCATTGGGCTAGTGTAATTTTAAGTTTAATGCTCATCCCGTATCTATACTGCTTGTAAATTTGATTCAGTCCTCTAGAGACCAGAAGGCATCTTCTTTCCTGGAGTGAAGCCATGATGATTTATTAATTTTGTTCATATATCAGGTAACTTACAAAATTTATTTCATGAAATGTGAGGTACTTAATAGACAAATCAACTAGCTCAAAGAAAATCTGCTGCACACATTTCCTCTATAAAATTAAAAATTGGGCACCAATACAACCAGAGTCACACAGATGACTTCAAGGAAGGCTACTAAGTGTTCAGATCTGAATTAAACAGGAACAGCCTAAACATCCATTGTATAGTAAAGAAGAGGGAGGAAGGCGAGACAAACATGCAATAACCTGTACAAACATCATATTAAGTTAAAATTTACTGAACTAAGCTTGTGGGCTTGCGGGTGTCCATTGTATTAAAAATGCTAACATTTATATCAGTGGTCAACAACCGGTAAATCGCGATCTCCGGTCGCTAAAAGTCTGGCGGCGCAGCGAGTCCAAGACAGGCTCCCTGACTGCCCTGGCCCCATGCCCCTCCTGGAAGCAGCCGGTATGTCTCTGCAGCCCTGGGTGGAGGGGGAAAGACGACTCCGCGCGCTGCCACTACCCCTGCCCCCTCTGTGAGCTGCCAATGCCCTCGCCCCCCAGCACGGACTCCATAGCTCCCATTGGCTGGGAACTGCAGCCCGGGGAGGAGGGCAGCAGGTCTCCGTGCATGGCCCATGCCTGCAAGCACCACCCCCGCAGCTCCCATTGGCCGTAGTTCCCAGCCAATGGGTGCTGCAGAGTCGGAGGGCGGGGGCAGTGGCAGCTCACGGTGGGGCCGCAGAGACATGCCAGCCACTTCCGGGAGCGGCGTGGGGCCAGGGCACGCAGGGAGCCTGCCTTAGCCCCGCTGTGCCACCGACTGGGAGTCGCCTGTGGTAAACGCCTCCCAGTCAGAGCCTGCATCTCTCACCCCGTCCCGCACCCCACACTCTGCCCCAACGCAGAGCCCCCTCCTGTACCCAAACTGCCTCCCAGACCCCACACCCCCTCCCACACCCCAACCCCTGCCCCAGTCCTGGGCCTGCACCCAAACTCCCTCCCAGAGCTTTCACCCCTCACCACCTCCTGCACCCTAACCCCCTGCCCCAGGGTCAGCCCAGAGGCCCCTCCCACACTCCGAACCCCTGGGCCCCAGCCCAGAGCCTGCACCCCTTCCCGCACCCCAACACCATGAAAGTGAGTGAGGGTGGAGGAGAGCAAGTGATGAAGGGAGGGAGGAAATGAAGTGGGTGGCATAGAGGCTGGGTTGATCTTAAATTCAAAAAGTGATCCTGTGCGTAAAAAGGTTGGAAACCACTGATTTACATACTATTTTTGGATTGTATGTAACTTCTCTAGGAGGGGGAGATATGCTAATATAATTCCTCCAGTTATCAGCAGTTTAAAAGTCAGGTCACCTACATGTTTAAACGGACATAGACACTTGACTTTGGACACCCATTTTTTAAAATCTTGGTCATCTTCTTGCTCTGCACCTCTTTGACAGATGTGGCTGCATGTTTAAAATTAATCCCCAGCACTTAAAATTAAGTGTGGTCAAGGAGACAGAAATTAGATCATTTCTCTATCCAACTGCAATGATCAACTCTGCAGTTCAGAAATGTCAGTACTACAGATATCCAGTTATGTAGCATTCATTTAATTGCACTGTGCCACAGCAAATTGCTTTGGTAGTTGAAGTGTTTAAAAAGCATGCAGTCCAAGGTCATGCTACCAAACAGAAGGTTAAGTTCACGTACAACTCTATAAATCAGTTTCAAATATAAATGTGACCCATGTGAAGAACAGCAGTAATATTCTTTCAATTCCAAATATAGCAAATTCATTTTAAGAGCACTATTTCTATAGTTACTCACTTGAAATGACCTTTCCATAGTTATTGCAAAATAGTATTCTCTCCTGGGATATCTGCGCTCACAGATAAATACTTGATTGCATATCCTGCCCTTTTCTCCTGTCTGCTTGGTAAACAACTTCTTTCCAATCATTTTGGAGGAAATCTCTTTTGCTTCTTCTGGACTAGAATAAGAGAAGCTTAGAATGTGACAAGAGAAATGCTGGAGTAAAGAGAGTAGAATGAATTAATTTATGTTCTGTATATTAGTCTACAGTAAATATATGTTCTTACCTAGTTTATGTCTTCATAGTTCACAAGGCATTTTAATCAAATTAAAATTCCAAGCCATATAAATGGATTGAAGATATTTTCAATTTACCTGATAATTTAGAAATACAACTTACGAAAAAACTATTTTCACTCCGCCTTTGAGGCCACCTTCAAAGGTTCCTTTTCCTCTACCACCAGCTAAAACCTGAGCTTTTACCACAAGGTCCTTTGAACCTAGAATTAAAGGAAAAAAAAAAAAAAAAAAAAAAAAAGCTATAAGCAGCTCTCTTTAAATTTTCTGTCACTATCAATCTCTTTGGTATAAAATATTTGAAGACAGTTTGTGAGTTAAGATGTGAGTACATGTAGACTTACTATGACCTTTACATCCAAGAGAATTATCTTCACAATCCTATTCCATTTTTATATCTACTGAATACTGGATGTCATGTAGATTAGACCAGGGGTTCTCAAACTTCATTGCCGTGACCCCCTTCTGACAACAAAAATTATTACACGACCTCAGGAGAGGGGACCAAAGCCTGAGCCTGTCCGAGTCCCTCTACCCCGGGGGGGAGCTAAAGCCCAAGGACTTCAGCCTCAGGTGGGGGGACCTGTAATCTGAGCCTCGCCGCCCAGGGCCAAAGCCCTGGCTGTGAGGCTCGGGCTTCAGCTTCAGCCCAGGGTAGTGGGGCTCAGGCTTCGGCCCCAGGCCCCAACAAGTCTAACGCCAGCTCTGGCAAACCCATTAAAACGGGGTCACAACCCATTTTGGAGTCACAACCCACAGTTTGAGAATCACTGGATTAGACTAATATTTTCATAGAAGTCATAAAAGAAATACTTGGACTCTTATTATTCATGTTACCCTTCCGTTAGACTATTCTGTCTTCGTTTAGTTGTACAAGCCTTATGTTTAGCGTCAAACATAAGGTAACCAACCACCAGATATAAACAAGATTAGTGTTCATTGGCCAATGATATTGCTATACACTCTGCTCTGCAAACAAAACAGACCTACCCAGTGGCCTATTAGCTACTGGACCAATGGGGCCCGTCTCCAGGGACCCCAGCCAATTGGGGGGCCCACAGAAAAATGGGAACCCCGCCTGGCGCTTGTGCCAGGGAGCAGGAGCAGGGGCTTGCCCGCTCTGCCTGCCTGGCACTCCTGCCAGGGGACTGCAGGCAGACGGGGGAGGAAGGGCCCCCACTTGCTCTGGCCCAGGGCCCCACAAACACTTAATCCGCCTCTGGACCTAATACTCAAACTCTACAACATACAAACAATCTGTTACAAAGAATACATTAATGGAGAACTGACCCAAAAAAGTTAATATGCAACATGGGTAAAAGAAAAGTAGAAACAGGTACAAAGGCAGGACAAAAAAAAAAAAAAAAAAGACATCCTTCCATGACAGATAGAATCCACTTGGGTGGCTTTATGAAGATCAGAAGTTATACTCATTTCACTATGAAGATTTTCACAAAGATGTATATTTGGTATTTTGATAACAGTAGAGGAATACTGCTATACATCAAAGCTCTTCATCAGATACTCAGTAACCAGAAGAGAGGATAATTTGTCTAACGTCACAGGGTAACTCAGTGGCAATGTTGGGAAGAGAATCCAGTTCTCTGGACTTCCAGTCCTGGGCTAAATCTGCAAAGCAGTAGGTGCCTCTCTATAGATCAGGGATGGCCAAACTTACTGACCCTCCAAGCCACATATAACAATCTTCAGAAGTTCAAGAGCCGGGGTGCACCTGACAGGGCTGGGGGCTTCAGCCTGGATCCTGCGCCAGGTGGGGCTGAAGCCCCGTGACACTCCCTGCCCTGCACGGCTGAAGCCCCAAGACACCCCCCCTTCCCGCAAGGCAGAAGCCTCTGCCCCATCACCCTGCTGCAAGGCAGAGGTCCTGAGCTCCCCTCAGCAGTCTGGTAGGTGAAGAATGGAGGGGAACCTTGGGGTCTTCGTGAGCTGCACTTTAATGGTAAAGCCACATGAGCCACAGTTTTGCCACCCCTGCTATAGATGTTTTCAGGCATTGTTTTTGATTGACACCAATATTTATTAGCCTAATTTCTCTAAGCCACTAAGTTTACTCAAAGATTTTCTGCCTATAAGCAGACAAATCCTGAATATCTAGAATTCTATTTTAACCCCTCTTTCTAGCCATCATCATACCTACTAGAACAAAAGTCAATATCCTACCACAGCAGAGCCAGGTGCCAGAGAAAGTAGAAGGAGCAGCTTCAGCTAGAAACACGCAAACAATCTTTTTGTCCTCCCTTAAGAAGTTGAAAGGGACAGGTTTGGAGAACACGAAATGGACACAGGGGTGTTTGTATGTTCCACTTTACAGGTATAAGCAGAAAATGAACCGTTCAAACTCAAGCAACAGTGTTGTGGGCAGCTGTGGAGAGCACCAGCAGTATTTGCCCTTCTGAAATGCTGACTAAAGAGAGAAAGGGGATTCTTTACTAAAGCAGGTTTTGTAGTTTTGGATTTTTGTTATTGTTGTTGGGTTTTATTTAAGTCTCTCTCCCCTTGAGTAGGATTAGACTCTGGAAAGCTGACAGCCTTGGATTTAATAAATTTCCAACAAATGAGCAGAGAATAAGTAGTGAAGAATCTGAGTTTATTTTTCATTAAAGTTTTCTTTAAACTGTAGACAGTGCAGTTATAATACATATATAAATTGAGACATGTTATTGGTACACAACCTCTCTGTCCACTCCTTAAGTATAACAAGCCATTTCAAAATTCAACAGACCACAGAGGAGATTTTCAAAGCAATTCAAGGGATTCAGTAGTGATGTGAAACTATTACACAGAATGAGAAATATACAGCAGAGTTTAGCTCTACCTTCTCTTGCCATGAAACATGAAATATCCTAATTCACTTAAACAACCAACCTGTTGGACTACAAGAAGCAACAAGAAATCCAAAGTATGAGAATATAAGCTTCAGCATTTTCTGTTCATCTAAGAATAGGCAAGAAACATTAAAGGAGATCTTATCTGAATATACTATCTAGTAAATGTGTTTCCTTTTATTTGCTTCATTAAACTATGGGCTAATCAGGTCATAGAATATCAGGGTTGGAAGGGACTTCAGGAGGTCATCTAGTCCAACCCCCTGCTCAAAGCAGGACCAATCCCCAGACAGATTTTTACCCCCGTTCCCAAAGTGGCCCCCTCAAGGATTGAACTCACAACCCTGGGTTTAGCAGGCCAATGCTCAAACCACTGAGCTATCCCCCTCCACCCCCCACTGTCTAGAAGTATCTCAGGGGAAAAAATGAGTTTGGCTATGATGAATTCCATTTCCTGTATGTCTACATCTCTATTCAAATTTCTCGTGAGTCTCCTGAAGGACCCAAAAAGATAGCTGTGATCAAGATTTGAAAAGTCTGCTATTGAAAAGGAAATAGATAAAAAAAATAGATATTCTAGCCTTCTTTCTTCAGCTTGGCTTCAACTGTGTGTCCGCTGCAGACCTTCACCACCCATTTCCCCCCTGGGGGCCAAAACTAGCACACTCCAGTTCTCTATTTAGAAACACTGTTGAAAAGAACCTTTTGCTCTGACCTATGTATTTGTGATACCCTGTACCCCATGTTCACCACTTTTATATGGTTATGATATATTTTGTACAAAGTATGCCTTGTGAGTGATCATTTGAAAATTTAATCTGCTGAATATTATCTTGTTGAAACATATGCAAACATCACTGCATGTAAAATGATGAGATTTTGCTATGTGATTGTTACTGAAATATGTTGCAAATCTGGGTAACACCCACAAATTATTTTTTGAGGGCTTGTTTACACTGGCAAGTTTTGTCGCCAAAAACTGCCTTTTGGCAACAAAACAGCAAGAGCACACACACACACACACACACGCTACAATGGGACTTTTGTCACGGAGAACACACAGTTTTGGCAACAAAAAACTTCCACCCCAGGAGAGACTTTTGTCTTTTTCCCCTCCCTTTATTGTCAGCAAAGCCAGTGTAGACACTGCTAATTGTTTTGTCCACAGAACTGGCTTCCGCCAGTATCCCACAATGCCTGCCCTGATCCCTCTGCTCAATGTTTTGATCTCTGCTGCCCTGCAGGCATGCACTCCTCTCGTTTCAAAGCTGCGGGGAAGTATCTGTGTGCTGCTCTGTTTGAGGAACAAACAAAGAGCAAATAATTGGAATGCTCCTGATCTGCCCTGCACTAGGGACACAGCAGCAGGCAGACTGCTGCTGCAGGAGGAGGGGGACAAACTGCTGTGCTGCTTTGCCATTCCTCAGCACAGAGAGCTCACAGAGCTACTTATGATGCTGCTCTCCGCAGCTGAGGGGGCTGTGGGAGAATGGGAGAGAATCCCAAGATGCGCAGCAATCAGCTCTTCCTTCCCACAACGCTGCACTGTGGGATACATACCCATGATGCATTGCTCACCCTGTAGATGGTGTCCCCAATGTGGACATGATCTGTGGACAGAAGGAGCAAGTGTGAACACCCTTCGGCGATTTGTTTTGTCGACTTTTGGCTGTCGACATAAGTTTTGTCAACAAAACTTGGTAGTGTAGACAAGCCCTCAGAGACAAAGGCACACTAGCAAGGTGCTAAAGGGCCATTACCTGGCCCTTAACTGGCCTACTATACTTAACTGGCCATCCACCAGCAGTGGAGAAGGTATAAACAAGAAATTTACATTTCATCCCAGAGACAGTTTGAATCTCATGCACACAGATAACTGTTTGTCTACAACCCAGGGGGTGGGAGGGATAATCCTCAAAGAGAGGAGAAGGCTATAAGGGTATGTCTACACTACGAGAGTAGTTCGATTTTAGTTAAATCGAATATGTGCAATCGATATTAGAAAGTCGAACGTGTGTGTCCACACTAAGGACAGTAATTCGACTTTGTCAGTCCACACTACCGGGGAAAGCGTCGACATTGGAAGCGGTGCACTGTGGGCAGCTATCCCACAGTTCCCGCAGTCCCCGCTGCCCATTGGAATTCTGGGTCGAGCCCCCAATGCCTTCTGGGTAAAAAAATGTGGCGAGGGTGCTTTTGGGTAACTGTCGTCATCCGTCAGTCACTACCGCCCTGCCTCCCTCCCTCCCTGAAAGCGCCGGCGGGAAATCAGTTTGCGCACTTTTTGATCAGTGACAGCGCGGACGCCACAGCACTGCGATCATGGATCCCGCTGCGACCATCGCTGCAGTTGT